AGGGGGTTCGAATCCAGCTGGTGGCAGCATGTTGTGATCTCGAGCAAGTCACTTTAGCCCCATGTGCCTCTCTCCACCCAGGAGTAAGTGGGTGTCTGTGAGGGCAGATATGGTCATGTTAGCTGTGTGTGCCTGATAGGGCGGCATCAGCTGGTGTATCCCCCCCCCCGGAGCTGAGACGGTTTCAGGAATGTTCAGTTGTTGTGATTCCTATATGCAGGGGTGATAGTAATAAGTGCATATGGACTTTCAAAGTGATATGTGCTTTATATATAACGTTTTATTATTTTTATTATTACAGCACTCCATACATTAATACATTTATTTGATTCACAAAAAGGATTCATCTGCAATATTGTACTGTGTTGAACCGTGACTTGAGGTTATTGTGTGAGATTCATGTTTATGCACATACTTTCTGTGTCATATCTGCCATGACAGCTTATTCCTGGTGGTGAAGGGCCTGAGGTATAGCACAAGATGACACCAGAGGACTAGGGTTGCAAGAGATATTTCAACCTGTGAGGTCTACCAGGTACATATCTTGGGGTAGGGACATACACTGTATGAGATCACAACTCCAAGATGATGCTATCCGGCTTGCTGTGTTTGGTCAAACTTTTCATGAAGGTGTGACTTTTTTACCACTTTTGCCAAAAATGCACATGCTCTGGAGTTTTGTCATTTCACAGAAAATGACATACACTCCTTTGAAACATTAAATTACATATACATGTATGCTTTTTGGTTAGCTTTTTTGTTTTTTTTTTTGTTTTTTTTTTTAGTTTTTACATGTTTCACTGTATCGGTAAATCATATACATGTACCTTCATGAAAGCTGACTTGCAGTTTTTATGTATTACTGGTACATTTATTGTACATTTACATATGCTTTTTTTCTTTGTTTTCGACACATAAAAAACCCATTCTGTGTAGGCCTTGAGAAATTATTTGTTTTCTTCACAAAGAAATTCTAGGGAGATAAGTCATACTGAGGCCAAATTATTTCCAATGATTTCTGAGTATTACTAAAATCTTGACAACAGTCAAAGGCCTTTGAATGTGTTCTTGTATTTGTGTATTCGTGAAACAAGATTTGTTCATTCTGTTAATATCTTTACTGTAATAGGAAATTTAATTACAGAACAACTTTGAATTCTGTTCATTTAGCATTTTGAAAATGGTTCTTCTTGTCAGCAAAGATGAAGAGAAATTCCAGTGTTGATACATGTAGAATCGGGGCAAGCATCCTCGCCTGTTAATTGCATAAAAAATAATGGGATAATCGTTGGCTCTAATTATATCAAAAGTCATTTTGTCATATTAAAGTATTATTTTTGTCACTTATGGACACTGTTGCCACAATTGAGCAAAGAGGAGTTTCTTTTCAATCTGTGTACAGACATGAGGGCCTGTGTTTGTTTTCACTTTATGCTTTACGTTTTTTAGTGACTCAGTATAGCCTAATGCACTTGTAGGATAATCAGTAAGAATAGTTGTATTTACATGTATCATGTTTGTGAGGAACTCACACACTCACATTGGGCTGTAGTATGATTCAGTTATATTTATTTGGCAAAACTTATCACTATAACAATCATTTCATGTGGTCTCCAAGAATGACAAAGACAGTTACCCATTAAGCAAACTGTAGGCAAAGAACTTAACTGACTCAAGTGGAGTAGGTCCTATAGATTGGAATTACATTTGCATATAGTTGCCAAAAAGCGGCTGTTTATAGTCTTTCACCTGACTTGCTGGCATTACTATTACTCTCTGCAGTTTGTGCCGTTAATAAAAATTCATGCATCAAATGATATGGTTGGACCTTCATGTATCCTACTTGCTCCCTGTGTGCAAGGTTTAGTTTCTTTTTACTTTTGGTAAGCATTTCAGGCCAATTTGTGTTTTTTGTCACCTGACCAGCTGTAACAATTTGGCAAAATTTTGGCAAATGACAGTACATATATATATGACACCCGACACCTGTTTTCATATTGGTGCAGGGAAACAAATGAGTACATTGTGTACATGTATACCTGCTTTCAAACCAAACCTTTAGGATAGACATCACAATGACAGTGGCTCTTAATTTTCTGTCCTTTCCTAGCATGATTTTTTGCTGTTGTCAAATTGCATGGATGAATTGGGTTGACCTTCGAGCACAACAGAAGGGTCAAAAGTTGGCTTGTGTTTAACTAGCAAAGCGTCCATTTGACTTCATGATTTATAATAACTGAAAACACTTGTTCTTTTTGTGAAAATAAAGCAACTGGCCTTTTTTTTGTTTCTCTGTTTTACTGCATCCCCAGTCAGTTCAGAGTAAATGTGTACAAGGTCAATAAGAGTGAAGTGTTTTTATAGCTGGTTTGAGAAAACGTTACATTTTGCCCTATTTTTGATTGATTCAAGTGAACTTATAGGTCAGTCACCGACAATGTGTAACTTCAGCTTTCAAATGCAGCTTAAATTCAAGGAAGAGAGTAGGTATGAGCTTCAGTTCAATTAATTAATTACCCACCGTAATCATTGATGGAGGAAGAGCAAATGCATAGCGACTTTCTACTTGCATTATTTTGAACAAAACAATATATTGCTTTGGGGAAAACTTCAAGTTAAGACATGTTGGCCTCGCATGTGTAAGATACCTTAATGGTGTAGTGAAGATCAATGGGTTGTTGTGGCAATGTTCATAGTAGGAGTTTTATTCCTTCAACCTTCACGTACATACATATTGACTGAAATATCATTGACTGAAGACATTGTACTGCACAGAGAGTACTAAAGCAAATGCATCACATGTACTATTAGACAGTTTCGACAGTTCATGTTTGTACATGTACAGAACACGTACATGGGTACGTATCAGGTTGCAAAAATTTAGTTTTGGCATGATTTGCACGTCCGTATGTGATGACACACATGGCTACCTAGTAACATACACATACATGTAGGTAGCACCCGACATGATGGCGTCAAACAAAAAAAGATACGAATACGTGATATGTGCATGCATATTATGCCGAAACTGTCTAATGTGTAAAAGGCATTAGTGCGGGAACCAGTGAGTGAGCCAACATGTGAGCATACTCTTTGTTTGCACCACACTTTCTGGTTCATAATTACATCATATTTCGGTATTACTTCAGTAATACAAGTATTTGTAATTGTTGGTTAAGGAATACTCGATACTAGTCCTTTTGCTTTCATTAATGGATGAGTTGGACTTCCACCAACATCTTTCAAGAAGTTACATGTATCTCGGTTTTTGGTATGACTGGTTCTGTAAGGGTGTTTCTGACCTCTGTATTGCTGAGCAGCGTGATCAGTATAGGACTCCATGTAAGCTTCCTCGTTGCTTGGATATGAGAGGTCAGACTGGGACTCAGGTAAAGGTTCTGCATTCCAGTTTTCATCCATGAAAGCATTTCTGTGAATGTCGTCCCTATTAGTGTGACTTTGCCTGGCATTCCTAGACCTTGCACTGCTTGTGTTTTTGGAAGTACCACTCGGAGATGATGAGGCTCTCTTAATTCTCGTTGGACTTACTCCTTGCTGCTGATGATGTTTGGAGGAGCCTGTCCGCTTTGAGAGCCCAGGGGAAAAATGTGGAGACTGATTGTAACTCTCGGCATCAAAGTAGCAATCATAGCTCCTGTCTGAAAATCGTGGCAAATCCCTAACCTCATCCTCCGAGCTTTGTGCAGGCATTCTAGACTTCCCATTCCACTGACGGATTGATGAGGTCCTTTCTGATGTGTCGCTGGCTACCGATGGGGGTCTGTCTGAAAGCACTTCATTCCCACTCTCTGGCCTCAAAAGAAACCTTGAAGAGTCAGTTTTCTTTAATATGGGCATGTTTGGCCTAGGGAACCCCTGGTTCCCATTTGTTGCAGAAGAATCTGATCCAGACATGGTATCCTTTCTGACATCGATATGCTGAGCTGACTGGGTTCTTTTCACTTGCCTGGTACTATAGCGTTCTGTTCTACTCTGTAATCGAGAGCAACTGTATCTTCTGGGTTGGTCAAACTCATTATTACGATACCCTGTTAAGTCTTGAAAACTTAGTGACTCATCTCCTGAGCTCTGGACGGATTCTTGTATTAGATGATTCTGATGAGATTCTGGGATGGAATAGATTTTCTGGCCATGCTTATGAATAATTGATTTCCACCTGTTACCGGAGCTTTTAGACGTGCTGTTCTTGAGTGGCTTGTCTGCACTATGCCTCCTTCTCACCATGCTGTAGGCATCTTCATAAGTAGAATTCTTCCCCCGAGTGTGATCATCCAGAGCCGGTGTTATTTCACTGTTGCTCCAGTGCAGAGGAATCCCATAGCCAGACCTGAAGCCATTTTCAGTTTTGCTGGGATGTTCAAAACTTCCCTTGTAATTTGGAGGTGGGAGTACTGTGGACCCTTCCTCCTCACACCCTGTGCCTGCTTCGTAAACCTCTGAAGATTGCTGACTGTACATTCCATCCCCTTTCAGAGGTGTGACTAACTGATCAGTGTCATGATCAAGAAAGGCTTGGTATCCCACCTCACTGTCCTCATGTGATGATGCGACCTCACTGGCTGTGGTATAGTCAGTTGAATAGTTCACCTCCCCTAGACCAGAGTCAACAGACCTGATTCGTTGATGTTGTTGTACATCAACCTGCTGGTTGGGGTGTGCAGCAGCATAATGTCTTATGAGTCTCTTCAATTCTCGACGGATTGACTTGATTTCTTTATGAATGAGACGTTGTGCCTCCTTGATACTGTTCTGCATGGAGAAAGAAATATAGATGTAAGCCTTAAAAATCGTGTGCACAAACGGAAAAGTAAGTATGCACTCGTTACTGAGCCTGCTTAAACAGTGCATTAAGGGTAAGAGAATAAGTTGTGGTACGGTCAAAATATTCTAAAAGGACAGCTGCAATGGCTTTTTTAAAATACAAACCAGATAAAAAGATATTTTGCAGCCTGGTTGGTTTTTTCTGCTAATGAATATTTCCATATTCATGAGCAAAACTGCGATGTCATCCCCAGAAGAAGGCCCCAATGTCCCAGTAGTTTGTACAATTACATATACATGTAGTGCATTGTTTAGTTTTTGCTTGACTGCATTTTTTCATGTTTTGTTATACTAATAAGCAAGCAATTGACCCTTGCTCAGAAATGTTTTCAGTGAGTAAACTTTGGGTACACAATTTGAACAGAAAAACCTATCTGCACTAAACTATGTCTCTTCCCTGGATAACATCACAGCAACAGCACACTCAGTTGTCCAGGGGAGCAAAGGAAATTGACATGTTAAAAAAGTGCATGTATGTAAGGGATCTACAAATAGTTTCCATACATTGAGGAAGAGTGTAAAGTTGCAGAAAAAAATTGTGTCTGAAAAATCATTGCAGGTAGGCTTTAAGCAGAGACGACGAAAGGAAGAATGTGGGTCGTCAAAGGCCAGCATACAAAAGGTCCTCTGATAAAAAAATCAAGTGTTCCGGTCCTCCAACGATCAACGAGAATATTCGTATTGTGAATACGTATTTATAATACGAATATTCCACAAAATATTATATTCCATAAAATCCACCAAATACCCAAATTTGCTTTTAATTAAAGATGTGAGTTGGGTACATTGTTAAAAGAGCAATGTGAATTCACTACATTTCTCTATACAAGTAATCAATTGAGTTTTGCTTTCCTTCGTAATTGTCAAGCAGCAGACAGCTTCAAACTAGACGGTTATACCTTTGTGAAGAGAGGGGTTGATGGTTTTTAGAGTCATTTGGCTTGCCTTTCCGAGAACCCAACCGCAACACTTACAGAGGAACGCCTATGATAAACTCCAACAGGGGAACTTCAACAAAAACAAGGATTTCTTTTTCCTTTGCACTAACATCAAGTACTTAAAGTTTTGGGACGTCAGTTTTGTCACTGCAATAGATATGTATTTAAAAACTGTAATCCTTGTTTGTGTCGATATTTTTTATACCTGAGAACGACTACAAACGTGCAAAAGTCCACAGCATTATTCAACAAGCGGGTTTTAGATCTCCGAATTATGTATTTCGAACCCCATGCCAAACCAATCGTGCAGCTAACTGGATAAAAATAAGCGTGGATAATCTCTCATTTCGGCAAAGAGTGAAAGGGTAACTTATTAGCGACGGACGTTATTAGATGCCTAAAGGGACTATGAATTCTTTTTTCATCGTAAATAAGAATGAAGAGGGGTACGAGTGCCATTGTTATAGTTCTCTTGCGTCCATTATCTGTCGGACCCACCTTACCCCTTGGACCTCCACAGACCAATACATCACGATACGAACAAAAGAATTAAACGAAACCGAGATCGAATTTGATTGATAATCTGTTTGCAGAGGGCTTCAAAATGACTGAGAAAAGATGGGGCAATTACAGATGGGGATGTGGTCTATTTGCGATGTTTTGAAGGATGCAGATAAAAGGAACTCTGAGAATAAAGAGCTGATGAGGTATGGGGCATCATGCATGTAGACCCCACGCGTACCAATACGTGACTGCAGTTTGGGCCAAACTCGGTGAAAACTGTACATCAAGATTTTTAAACGTGGGCGACGCCAACTTTCTTGAAAAGTCAAATTCTGTAGAACTTCACCTGTTCATCTCGAAGGACCACGATGAGTTCTTCATCCGGGAGATCATCGATGTCAGTAGCCGTCTCTTCATCTTCACCTTCGTCATACTCGCTGCCTTCACCTGACCACGCCATTTCTTGCTATTTGTTCCGGTTAGGTCAGACACAAGTCAAAATCTTACACAAAGTATCACCAGTAGATGTCTATAAGAAATCAGAAATGAAACTTTTTGATGGGTGATTAAATATACTGACTGCACAAGCTTATTCTGATCGTAAACTGTGTGTCCTTACCGTTTTATGAGAATCACAATTCGACTATTCTAACCCGGAAGAAGCGAATACCACGGAGCCCCTGAAAAAATTTGGAAAACTGAAAGTAGAATTTGTTCCAGCAGTTTCACCAACGGTTTGTCTAAAATAGAATGAATAAATTAGACAATCCTTGGTTTTACGATCTACAGAAACACTAGAAACTGCCAAGTAAGCAAACCATAACACCTGAAATCAGATGTGGACACACAGTTGACATCTACATGTATACGTGTTCACCGTAAATCTACGTGCCTAGTGGTGCCTATCTTCTCTAATCATGGTTACGCTGTCACAATACAAGGCTGTCCATTTCACCCAAGATGTCATTTATTCAAACAATAACCCATGCTGTTGTGTCAGGCTCTGGTTACAGTTTGGAGGATAGGGATTATGAGAAAATTACCTTTAAATGCCACAGACTTTACAACCACCAACTTTGAAATGGCTATGCTATCCTTGAATCAAGAATACCAATTTACCATGTGATGCCATTCGTAAAGAATATGATTCAAAAGCACTTGCATAACCCTTTGGCACAGATTCCCTTATGCCAGAAGGTCATCTTCGACAAAGTCACAATCTTCAGATTGACAGAAGCTTGTTAAATCTCAGAGTAGTGATGAAACTCTCTAAAAGTTATTCATCTAACGCAGGTGTCTCAACCAACAACTGAGATGTTGGAGAAATTTGTGATGTGATTTCCGAAAACCCTTCCCATGGTAAGCTTTGTCATTTGATTGAATAAACTTCAAATTAATATGGACAGACTCTTGTTTTCAGATATATTACATTTAGGTTGTCTAGAACATGAATCTAGGTTTTCGAGAATCACAAATTAAACAGGTTTGAAAACAGGATATGACAAAGCTCACCATGTGAAGGGTTTTCGCAGATCACGTCAAATTCATATTTAATATCGGCAGTGTTTAACTCGACCTTAATTTAATACTAGTGCTGGTGTGTATAAGGCAGGTTGGGTGGCTGGTTAGGCCTTGTACGCAAGGTCATGGATTCCATACAATCCAACCATAGAAAGCTGTCTTAAGGACTTGAGTACTTTTAAACAGTGTCCAGTATCGTGTTTGTAAAACTGCATCAATACAAAATCCGGTTTATCAATCCGATCGTCAAAAACAGCGTAAACACTGTAAATTAGGAAAAAAATTTGACACAAAAATTACGGATTTCTGCATTATGCACTAACATACAGGATGCCTATCACGATTACAGGTTTACAGTACCATTCATTTTTGGTACATGTATCTTCAATTTGTGGTGTTATGAGTGTTTGCGACCAATGAAGTATAATGAACATCAGACGAGTTAGAAGTGTAAACCCAATACAGGCCCTATTTGCGTTTACTTTTCCGTTTCAGACCCTTGGAACAGCCAAATAATAACACGATTATTGTTTGGTTTTACCTTCAAAAACTCCCGAGAAATCCAGCCAGTATATCCTTGTCAACTTGTCCTGTCAACCAGTGAGTGAAATGGTGTGGCGGGTACGATCGAACTTGCTGTAATAGCAGCCTACCCTAACCACGGATAACTACGCGTATAGTGTTACATAACCAGTAATGAGTGTCTATTCACCATGCCCAACCTCCCCAAAATGTTCCTAACAAAGCCCATTCTTTTGCACCGTAGAAGTCAGTACCAACTCCTGTCATTATCACCATCGATTACTTATAATGTGTCAAAATGTGAAGCACTATCTTACCTCAAACAACCCACCAGTTTCCAAGAAAAGCTTTGTGTGGATTGCAGGAGTAGAAATTAATTGGCTTAACCAGGAAAAAAACGCCTACTGTTGTCTTACGACTTAGATCGCGGTTTAGAAAGAAAATGCGCGAAGTGAGATAAATCGTTTAATCTGGGATGGACACGCTAGAGAGGCTTCCATCTCCTGTCTGCACCCGTATAAAACGTCAAATGCTGAAATCCATTTTAGTTTGACAGTTCTCCCTGTGTATTCTCATCAGTTTTTACAACATCTAATGCCAAGTTGTGGCACAACATGTTCAGATCGAGACGACATCTATCGAGAGGAATATTTTTGATGAGCACGTAAGCCTACTCTGGCTAACACCTGAGGCAAAAACTGTTTTCTTTTCAAAGGTCTTTGGAGAAAATACGAGGGAAAGAAAATCAGCCACAACAATCGTCAATCCTGCAATTTCAATCTGATTTTTACATTATCCCTAGGGGGTTAGGGTTAATGATTTGTGTGGTGGATTATACAGCACTGTTATACCGCGTCTCGTCTGTTTTTTATTATTTTTTTAATTAGCAAGCGAAAGCGCATCCGGCTGTGCTTAGGAAAAGCAGTATTTTGTTTTTATGTAAACTTCAAAAAGTAATCAACTTAAGCACCTCAAGCCTTCTATTTTTTACTCAGTGCGTGTGAATTCATGGAAATCAACAACGTTTAAACGAGCTTGACATGTCCACTAACCTTTGATTATCTTGGACTAACTGATCAAGGAAACTGCCATGATGTTACATTTTACATCAGTTTAAAACTCAATTACTGTGCATGTAGGGCTATCTGAAATAATTCCATCATTGGCCTGATTTATATGATATTCACTTTGGTCGCGCCTCTACACCACAAATAACCCACTTCAGAAGTTCCCCCGACTGTGCATGTATTACCAACGCCACCCCACGATGTTCCGATTGTCACTTCGTGGGGTCTCCGGGTGCACAGGTAATCCGCATTGAATGGGGGTATTCTTCGGAATCGGCTTCACGTTTTAACATCGCCCTCTCACCCGTGTAATAGAATTTCTGTGTAGTTGGCAAACAGCAAATTAATTGATATCGACAGCGAACAAGGTTACAAGAGCTATTGTTGGGCAGGGTAATTATTGTATTTACAATCAAAATAGTGTTTACGAGTCTATCGCGTGTCCTAGTCAAGTACAGGCCCCACGTCAGCCATGAGGCATAACCCTCGTGGAACTCAGCATCAGGTGTGTGGCTTCGTCTCAGTGGCTTCGTCTCTGTGGCATTCTTACTCGAAAGCACACGTCATATCAACCAGTTTATGAGGACGGAAAACGTTGTAAGGACAAGGAAGGGTTCCCCCAACTGGTTCTAATTTTCCACACAAAAGACACTTTCCTATGAATGCAGTGAGGATCTGCCCGTTTTTAACTAGCCGAGTCAAGATGGTTCTTGTGTCCTTGCGGAAGACGTTCAGCCACAATTATCGTTTCCCTGCGGTTTGTGATAACCTTATAGGGTTAGGTGTGCTATGACACCTACATTTACAAAGAGAGTGACTTCTCTTAAAAATGCCTCTAAAATCCGCTGGGAATGTATTTTTAGAGAGCAACATTTGTTTGATGATCGAACAGGCAAAGTAATTTGCCAAGGATATACAGACATTCCTCATAAATGCAAACACTGTTAATGCACATTATGTTTAATGTGGCAACTAAAGCCTTGGTTCCGATGTGCCTGCGACAGGCACTCCACGAACTTCTGATATAACAAATATCATGGCTAGGTCCAGCTGATTTCCATTCACTGAAAGTCTACTGCACATATAATCTGTTAGTTATAGTGGTCAATTTTTGGATGTCTTTTTATTGGATTGCGTTGCTGGATGATTGTATAACTTATCAAAGTTACCCATTCTTGGACACGTATTGAAAATAAATCACTGTTGAATTCATTAGCAACAAGCCACCTTTTGAAGTTTTCCTGACCGATAAGATATAACCAATGTTTAATCGTTTTTGATGTTTTATCCCTGTCAGGGCAGGATGGACTGGGAATCCTCAGTCAGCACAGGAGAATCTTGTTCTATAAACATCTATTTGGCACAAATCGAGAAGGATCAAAAGTACAAGCTAAATTAGCACCGTTACCTGTGAGACATCCGTCAATTTACAGTGTCAGCGGGAGGGTTGAACTTCATCCTCAACGAGCCCAACAGTGACAAAGTTTGGACTCGGAGAAAGTGCGATCTCAAATTACAGATTTTATTGACAAATGTGAAATGCCTTATAAAATATTCGACACTTTTACAAACTCACCTGATGGTTTTCCACGTTGACAACTAGAAGATAAGGCACTACCGCAACCACAGGAAATCTTGGGTAGTGTAAAAAGATACACGCATGGATACAAAATTTGCTCCTACTTGATACGAGAAACCTTGATCACCTCATTCAAGCCAATATGTGTACTAGAAGTACCATATCCCACGTCACAACAAAAGCAACAGTTGAAATCAAGTTGCGGTGAACTTCTGTGGGAATAGAGGTTAACAGGCTCAACAGACATGGACCATATTCAAGGGTCCGTAAAACGATGGACGGAGGAAAATGTAAAGAACTGACAATCTGACCATGAGTCATAGGTCAATTGACAACCTGGTGCTAGTGCAGAAAGATTAACAATCAACTTATGTGAGAATTCATCAAGTCCGCAAGGAATCATTACCTGCTTTGCGTTTCAAATCCAATCCCACGCTTTATGCATGTTGAATTAAGGTACTCATGATGGGATATATCCCATCGGCTGCAACGAATGATCTTTGTTGGTAACGGAGAATGGAATCCAACACTAATCAGATAATTCATGAACAGACTAAGATTCTTCATCAAAATCGGTGGTGTTACCTCAAAACCGAAACACATCTGTTTGCAACAGCGTTCTTCAACAAGGGTGTGTAATTCATCTCTGGAAAGGATCGTTGCGGATCTTCTACCCACCACACCCGCTTGAGCAGTGGGATTTTGCTAGTGCACTACGTAAATGTTGTCCTAGGTAATCCCTACGCAAATTCCAGCTTCAATTGTCTAGAGGTCGTGCTATGGTACCGAACACTGAGTAAATTTACTCCTCAAACACTCGACTCTTCCTTCCGTTAAGTCACGGTTTGGCTTTGGGTACAATTCAAAAAGCGACCCTTCGCTGAGAACAGGTCGGCTTTTCTAGACAGCATATTACAAATGATTGTAGTCTCAAAAGAACAGAAGCATTTTCGGCAAGGCGTACACTGCAATGCCAACAGACTTTGTCCTCGGGTTTTTTTCTGATATTACCTCGCGGTAATTAACTAACGGTTTGTTCTATGGTGTATAAATGGGTGAATGTAAACATTTTTGCGAAATGTGAGTATAAACTAACAGGTCACGCATACCCACTTTGGTTAGATTTATTTGCTGTTTCAGAAGTACCATTTGAATGTGATTTTAATTTAAGCAAACCAACGTATTTCAAAGATGGATTTGCGCAGGGGAGATGAAATTAATTTTGGGTTTTTTCCCTGCCCGACGTGTATTCCAACACTGCACACTAAGTGTATGCCTCCGAAAGCCCGTGAAAAAAGGGGCCTTCGGGGGCATACACTGAGTGTGCAGTGTTGGAATACACGTCGGGCAGGGCAAAAATTCAAAAGTAATTTCAAACCAACGTAATTCCATAACAGATCAAAGTGAACACCTACCTACATTAGACGATATACGTAACACGCGATTGTAGAATCTCCTGGCGTTCAGACGATTGTGATCGGCTGAGACCCCCTTTGTCATGAACTTGTCAAAGGAAAGAGATAGTAATGAAACAAAAATAAACGAGATAAATCTGAGATATCTGTCACCAATCTACAAGTCTATTAAAACGAGACGACAGGGTCATTGAACTTCTAAACAACATTGTGCAACTGTTATTCAATGAAAATGGTTTTCAATGGCGTGCAAAAACACGAAACAATCAGTATACACAAATCAAGTCACATAACAATATCTTAAAGGCACACGGGTAACCTCTTTGAAGGATAAAATGAACTTTTCCTCGTGTAAACAGCAAAGATGAAAGAGGAGCGGGCAACATATCTGCAGTGACTGACCCAGGTCAACACAGCATAATTTTCTATGTCAACTGTTGTAATAAATGATGTTGCTGTGACAATATGTCAACCAAAAATGTTCGGCGTAGGTGGGAAGTGATCTTTGACAATAGCATGCAAACGGATTCACTGAATGTTCACAAACAGTGGGAGTGTTTGAAAGAACCTGGAAGGTGATCAGCATAACAGAGTATTTGATATATTGGAAGAAGTAGCAGACCTTGAACAAAGTTAGTGAAAAAACGTATTTCAATAAGCTTGTTAAATTATGCATGTATCTTAAGTCTTCTCTCTTAGTCATGTTAGTGACTTGCGAAATCCCTGGGAATAAACCTCGAGAAGTGTTGACGTAGCCTCTGTGTCCCTAAAAGGGCAACATTTCTGGCATATCCTATCTATTTATAGTGAGAGGAAGATGTATGTATAGACATTAATGCCACCAATCGCTGAGAAACGTATCCCAACGAAGTGAGCCAGGCCTGCATGTTATTCCCGCTGCTCTATCTTAATCGCTCTAATGCGCCACTTGCCCAAGAAGTCCCACATATCCAAGGACCCTCATCAAATAGTCTGTACCCTTATAAAGCGGGTTAGGCTACCCGGCAAGGTACGATTGCTATGGCTTCTTCAAGCTTCAGTGGCGGCTTAGCCATTAAAAATTCAGACCACAGTTCAGCCTTTAAACCGCCTTCTTTTGTTATCTATCGACTGGACGAGCCACCCTTCCCATGTCCAGTCAAAAATAATCCAAGTTAACAGCATGAGTCCTGTCTATATCTTTTGTGTGTACCTTGTTGGATGTATGCAAAGGAATCGAAGTATTTGCCTAACTTCTTAAGAAATGCTATAGAAATAAACATCTCCGCATTGTGCCTGCATAGCAACTTGCCTAATTGTAGTTTTCCCTCAAGGAAAGGATTCATGGATCTGGATCTGTTTGATTCCGTAACAAATGACCAGGGAGGATAGCCTGTATTTTCAGTTCAATTAGCACAAACACAACTCGGTGCAAATTACAGTGTTTGGGCAATGGCTACAGACTACCGGTACCAGGCCTACATTAGCAACCGAATTTTTTGACAACGGGTCGCCTGGGGTAGCATATTTAAGCAGAAAAACCAATCGTTTGCGACTTTGCGTTGCGTAATCATGAATCTGAAAATAAATAAATAAAATCCACGACGCACTGCCAGCAATTAAGAATAGCATAATTATAAATAAACCTGGAATATATTTTCCTTACGGATCACATTACCGGCACCCGTCTTTGGTAGACCAACTCCACTGGGTCATTGGGTTGCTGTTTCCCCAATCATGTTGTGTGGACTATGGAAACTCCTGCATAAGTGTCTACGTGTCCCCCTGCACGTACTGTTGATGTATGAGAACATTTTCCGATTTACTGGTTTATTTTAGTTGTGTGAAAAGCTGCAAGGCACTACAGTGCATAGCAAAAACAAACTGTATAGTTCACCATCATAGTTCATTCTAGTAGTGGACTACTACGTTGGATGACGGTGAAGTATGAGCTATAGGCAAGTCGAAGTCTTCCGACAGTGGTTAGATGAAAGTATCGCAAACGGGTGACACTGCCTGGTATAGTGTATTAACCCCTTTCACTAGAATGGTACTTTTTCAAGCATAAACCTCTTCAATTTTGTGCAATGGCGGTGTCAGGCGAGTAGATCTGTGGGAATGAAGACTAGGAAATAACGATAGGAAATCCAAAATTGACGCTGGAATCTGGAAAGCTGAGCATACATGTACTTTGAAACCTAAGCTGCACCTCTAAGTGGCAGGGTTAAGGGGGCCTCATGTGCCCATTAAAAACCAAACAGACAATTTATTCCAGCTATCCAAGACCTTTGGCTGTAGAAATGTTTCCTGGCATCAAGCCTTGATCTGGATGTGGCTAGTTTCTGTGAATGACCTCTGGTTGGTAGCCAGCTTTAATTCTGGAACACTGAGTCTGGATTAACCCTATCTGTTTAATGTAGGATTCTGTAGGTATGAATAAGACCCCCCCCTCTTTCTGCGTCTTTCTAATGTACTGAGGTGTTACAAAGTGTCCTTCACTGATGTCGCACGGAGCATCAGAAATTGTGCGGCTATTATGAAGATCACCGCCTATTTTCCGATACTGTTCGCTTTGAACAGCGCCACCATGCACGAAAGGATGGTATCTATCCTAGTATGGACGTCGTGTACCGTTTCCCCCACATTTAACCCCAACCAACCAGCCCCCACATATCCACACATACCGGTACACCACTCAAACTGACCTTGTAACAGGAGGATGTTGTTATGGGCTTTTCAGTTTTTTCAGTGTTTGGGGATCGATCCATCATGCTGTAGTTCGTACCTGGTCAGAAAAATGTGATAAAGTACATCGTCCTGCGAGCAAATTACACGCCTCGAATTTACTACAGAAAATGGAGTGGAAGTACTTAACGCCCGATGATCGATCATAACAAGAAGGAAACCGACCAAAAAAGCATACGACATGAACACTGGATAATATTAGTTATTGGCACTTAACTTGTGCACTTGTGTCAAATGTTTAAGCCTGCTTCCCTTGTCCAAACTTTACCACAGCCCCTTTTGGTTTTGTTTTGAATAGTTAGTTTCTTAATATTTCTGGCTGGAAAATTTGGTTTCCTTGTGAACTGACTGTTCATAAGTTACCTTGACAAATTCTAAGTACGTAGCAGAATAACGTAGTCTAAATGGTAATGTTTTTGAAAAAAGTGGGAGTCTTCGCTCACTTTTACCCATCAATAATGTGTTACGTGAGCGAAAAGCTCTTTTTTTTCATTCTTGGGCTTCACCATCAGCAATGTGAAATATTCCCAGATGCACTTGGCCCGAGTTGGCATGGGGTTATGGGAATGGGCTCACCGTTCAAATGTGGATCGAGAATCAATTTTCAAAGAAAGGGGCGTGGCGTCGTAAACAGCCAGCACTCGGAATACATCCGTGGCTTAAGTTATAAGAGGGCATTCGCAATAGGCATTTCTACCCGTTAGATTCCTCTTCCATCATTCCCAGTTTCACGAAGGCGAGACGTATTTCAATAATGTCTTCCTTTTTATGCTTTTGGGGTCAGGAAAATGCAATTTACCCGGAAATAAAAGTAATAACTGAAACAGAAAGGGTAACACTTCACATACATTTAACTCCGTGTACTTACCTTCGGCATTACAATGTTGCAAACATTCCAGACATACAAGTATTGTGAAAGTTCTACATCAGTGCGGTTGATGAAACCTCAATCACTTGTAAGTTCTATTAAGACTTCTGTATGAGTTTATAACCACAGCCTCTGAAGGCAAACTACGAATTGTTGTTAAACGAACTGTAGAATATCGATCCAATCTTAGAGAAACCTGTCATGCACACGAAGTCTGAATACCATTGCCTTTGTTCAGTGTCTGTAAGCACGGAAGCATGTACCGCTGTTGGTTTTTTGGTTGGTTGTAAATAGTGATGCTGCATGTATGTGGTTAAAAAAGGTCAGTTTTTTAAATCTTCAATCAACCTCTGTGGTTGTAGGCGAGTTTATAATTATGTACGCGCATGAGACACATGCTTTTCTACCGGTCATACTGACTACCGTCAACACGTAAGACCCCTTCAAACAACTCATCTTGTCAGCCAACTTGGAAAAAATACACGAAGCAGTCGTCTGACCGCTGCCAAGGTAAAAAAGCCATTATTAATCCTTTAATCTGAACACAAAACCCATGCGCCGTCATCTTTCTAATTCAGTAGTTGAATGTGACAGGAATTCTAAAGCGGTAACCTTCCCGCATAAGAAATTTCACGGTCTATTTATTCCGGCGGAATTTCTTTTCCACTTACTAGAGATTAACAGCATTATGTCGATGTGCAGGAAAAATGGTAAGGGGTGTGCTGCTAATCAGATGAGATGAGAAGCTTGGTGTTTTTGTTTTCAGTCTGACGTTGGTGTTGATGTTACTGTCGTTAATGCTGGACGCTCCTGGCAGCGTTGCAAATTGTTGCTGGCCACTAACTAAAGAGGGCGCTGTTGCTCAAATGCCCAATTAATAGAGATCACAGTAGCCCACAATCCAGAGTTGTGTAGAGTAGACTAGAGTTGGGGAGAGAAATCACAGCATAACACGTATAAACACACGGCGACGCCCATGCCTTTTATTGTATCTTGGCACCAATCAGTTTCTTCAACAGTAACTTTTTTAGAGCTACATTTTTGTTTTTACGTTGTTCACACCTGCATTATAATGAACAAGTCTACAAGGCCGACTTCTTTGATTGGTAGAAATTCCGTAAACATTACGCAAGATCATATGCATATCATGAATAACTACAAATTACCGACGGGGGATTCGATTTTGCTTATCCGTCAAGTCAGATTTAGTGACTGGTGACGTATGGCACACGTTGTACAATAAAGACTAGGGCGCCTTATAAGGGTTATGCGAGCTGCTGCGGCATGCCGAGCCGAGCAACGTCAGTCCAACTTAATTCAAGTCTGTACAGTCTCGATATTTTTTACGTGGTTGAACAGGGGCCATAATACAATTTTTCGTGACCTGAGAGATAGACCTTTTCACATTTTCGTTAAAGCACTGATTCTGTGCACTTTGTAATGTGTAAATTTAGGGATCGTAAGTTTGTAAACGTCTACTTTCATCCTGAACTTCAATTGACCTATCGCTGAGTTAGTCACACCCCTTAGACAACTCCAAAGAATTTGTATTTTGGGTTTGAGAAATGGGTTTGCGTTGGGTTTTGTCTCAGATTTATCGATTCTGTGTGGTTCGCGTCCATTTTGTGTATCATGTGATTAGATATTTCACAAGCTGTGTTAACCCTATTTTGCCGCGATAGGTCAGTAGACGTAACAACTTCGTTCACATGAGTACGACTTTGCCTAGCAATATTGGGCCCCATACCTTGCGCGATCCAGTGGGATCAAGGTTATAGAAGCAGCGGATCACTTTACACCATGCACCTTGAAGCAGCAGAGCCTAAGGGCCAAATAGAAACTTCTGCAAACTGCCTGCTAGCTACAGTGATCTGAAATACAATGAGATTATGTTGGGGGTACGCAATCCTAGCACAATTTACCTCAAAGACCTTTGAGGAAAATTCTGTTAGGATCGAAACGTCAGGCCCTCTAACGTATTCAAAAGACATTCCAACAGGTAAATTTCGAATTTGTCCTGATCGTTTCTGTTAAACTTTCAACTGAGCGCACGTTGATGTGACGTATCAATAACAGAAAGAGTAGGCACACACACAAATAATTATCAGGGCTGTCAAACGCCTATTTATCATAGCCAAACGCTATTTTATTGTCTTTTCTATGTTTTTATGGACGTTTATGAGATAACGAGAGCCTGCTTCTTGCTCGACTTGATCCTGGTCTGTACAGGGAACCAGTCCCAACCTCTCCCGTGATTTCGCAAACCGAACAGGCCTACTGACACCGAACAGCAAGTTTACTGAAATCACTTGACTTGGAAACAAACACTTTTTTAAAATGTCGTATGTCGATTTCTTTTTTCAAAACGTCATCTGTCCACTCTGTAGAGCATCCCACACCGACTTATAATTCATATTCATAAATACCTAAGATATACTCCCTATTCAACAACGTGCAACTGGACCGTGTATTAACATTTGATAATGCTCCCTGAGAAGTAATAATACCCTCTGCGTATCAAAATCACGCGCGGGCACGAACCTGGATTCTGATTGGTCAAGAGTCTGTATACATCCGGCTTGCCATGCGCATGCCAAGTCCATATAAGGAAATTCTTTTGGACAACTTGCACAGGGAATATATCCTAAAATGGACGGGGTGTTCGGGAAATTAAAGTAAAATTCTTGAATAAAATCATTGGAAATCCATCATATATTGACTTTTTTGACTCTCTGACTAAGAAAGGTATTTATGAATGGGCATAAAATTTAATGTGGAGACTGAACGCTAATAATGCAGCTCGGGCATTAGATGCGTCCATTCTCCGGCTGAGCCGGTCTAGACCGGCCAAGCACATAATTATCTATTCCCTTATTATGATAACATCTTTTGATATTGCTGATAATGCACTGGACCACATACAGTGTTGTTTAAAAAACGACTGCCAATTATCATAATTTTCACATTTATTGGAGACTGTGATTGACTTCACTCGTGATTATTGTATCGTCATGGCAACGGTTACAGGGTATCGTCAATCAATATGGCCTAGCTTATAGCAGATGGTACTTAGTATATCCAGCACGATATGTGGCAAAGGGGGACTCCCCCAATGTAATGCACAAACCATATGCCCTAAGGTTACTGTGCCTGCTGCCCCCCCATGGAAATCTGAAAGGAACTCCAAAGATTTCATCAACACAAAAGAAGACACAATAGAGGGGAGTCCCTTTGCCACATACAGCGCATCTAATGGTACTTAGCTTTGAACAAGAAAAATATTTGCCAAAGCGATTACACGTAATCGGAAAAGACGGCTGCTTTAGCCAAAAGGGACAAAAGAGTTCTCAGATTTTACCTGTAAATTCTGGAGTCTCTGTATCACGTGTGATAAGCGATTTGAGACCACCACTTAAGCTTCAAGTATATAATTAATTAACGCTGAACATGTATAGGCAAGGGTTGACCCCCTGTTGTCAGTTTGATTTAAAGCAGGTACGCTTCGACCTTAACTTTGTGCCGCAAAAAGCTAGTCGACAGGCGGCGAAAAACAGTCGACGGCCGGCGTTTTCTAAACAGAAGTCGGCACGCGACGGCAGATGTGTAATTCACAAGAAAAGTTTGCCGGTGAACTTTTTTTTTATTGCACAGCTGTCTGGGGATGCACAATATTCACTTTCCTGTGGGAAAATGGTTCAAGGGAGGAGATCAGTCTTCAGCCTTCAGGTCTTATCGAAGCTTAAAACTCCTCCAGAGTCACGTTTAAATTTATTCAAGTCGGAATTCCCTTGGGTGTTGTGTAAAAAATCACTGCCTATAAAGTGAGCGCAAGGCGACCTTGCGGTCCATCTCGAACGATGACGCTATCAATCGTATGTTGAGCAATGTGTACTTGCATTAGAGTTTAAACATACTGATAGGGCAAAGACGACCTAACATCAGCTGTCCTGATGACTGCTGTATGGTGTACTATTAAAGCCGCATCATGCAGCGCTGTGAGTTGTTACACAGCATGGTATCACTATCAAGAGTCGTTTCACTGCGCGATAAGAGTTGTTTCACTTCGTAATTAATTATTTTCATTTCATTTATTATTTCGCAGTGAAATTTACAAGGGTTAAAAAAATAAATATTGCATAAAGTATAGACATATAAAGACAAAATTTAAATATAACATCAAACCTTATAAAAAGACTAAGATCCTAACACCAAAATAGTTGCATGCCTCTGCGGGATTACTAAAAAGTGAACTACATGTTAATCACTATCGTCAATCACTGTTGTTGCCTGCTGTGCCCCCGAGAGGCCAAATGACACTCAAGGCGAAACCGATGGTGCCATTTGCAAGATTTGCCTCCAAACAATACTACTATGCAAAACAAAACTCACCGCGCCACGTAATGTGGCCTTAATAGTATACCATATCAACAAACCTAAGGAGATGCTGAGCTTGTTTGCCAATATTATTCATACAATGTTAAGGGTCAGATTGCACCCTGCTCTATGATTTGCAAGACGTCAGCGGTGCTACTATTTCAGCGGGCGCGGTGTTTGGACAACGGCGATAAGGCCAGTCCTCAGTGGTGACCACCAAATATTATTTTAACAGGAGGTCAGCGGTCACTCTGCCACAGGCAATACAAGCGTTAACGCTCATTTTTGTCTGTCAGCGGCCTCGTGTATACACGTACATGTACTGTACATGTGTGTACAGTCGGCCTACTTGTACAGTACATTGTACACTGCATGCACAGGGCATCGATATAAAAATGTATGACTTCCATGGTCGCAGTTAGTGTCTGCATCCTGCGGATCAGTTCAACGTCGATGGTTATCCCTGCACACGTTTAAACTCAAATCCTGCTTTAGATGAATTATCACAATGAGTGACCCTACAGACATCGACGGTGGTCGGGCGTATTTCGTGTTATTAGCACTGCACGTGACCTACATCTTATTCGCCGGAACTAGTAAAGGATTGGGAGTTCTCTTGCCAACGCTGAAGGAACATTTCGACACGCATACATGGCTTGTTGGATCCATTATATCCTTGGTGATGACTACTATGGATTTTTCATGTAAGAAAATATCATTTGTATTTTGTAATCAGTGGCTTAGCTAGGAATGGGGGGGCACAAGGGGGCCCATCTTTCAATGGTGTGGTTTTTTTTTTTTGGAAGGCTTTGGAAGGAAAGCTTTTGTTAGCCTAGTTTAATATCCATTTATCCGCTTTTTTAGTGGGGGCACCGGGAATTTGTAGGGGCACGTGCCCCCAGCCCCCCCTGGCTACGCTACTGATTGTAATGTTTATTATTTAAGGACGATTGCCATTGCCAAGATAATCAAAATCACTTGATAAACCTTGATAACTTTGAAAATATTTTCTCTTTCGTGAAAGCCGAAGTGACACGGTCATATCCACCCTTCGTGTTTTAATAGCTTCATGGTTTAATATAATACGAAACACTTCTCGGACTTACTTCGCTGTGAATGAAAGATAATTTACCATGTCCCTTTAACGAGTCCATCAATTTTGTTGGGTTGTTCGCTATTGTTACATTGGACCAGTTGTTATCTTGGGGGAAATGGATTGCACACTGAATGAGCCTATTCATTGACAATGAAAAAAATAATCGCATATGTACCAAGTTTGTACATTGTACGTTTGTAGGATGTGCATAAGTTTAAGTGATCATGAATCAACGGGGCTCCATGCCGCGCGCTATGAGCTCACGGAGTCGTGCAGGTTAAAGGTTAGTACAGTGTACACGTACATGATGTATACGGGATTACTTACACATACATGTACATGTATCATCAGGAGAGGAATACTGGGCTTAATGGTTACGATGAATTACGACCAGACTACACTTGCAGGATAGGTTCCAAGGCTATAATTATGCACAATTTCGGTTATCGGTATTATTATGTATTACACGTTTTTGTGATCGTCGTGTGACGTACGTGTAATTGTCAAAGTTCGCCTTGTTTTAACAGATTCTTCAACATGGCAGAAATGCAAAGAGGCGATTTTTCTGCCATGGTTACGCTAATTATTTGTGTCCTTGCTCTATGCTAGTTATCGTTTGCCAAAAATCTGTCACGAAAGTGTAAGTGCAAAACTGCTGTAAATCCAAATCGGGCTTGACGCTGACGTTTTGATCCTAGTAGGATCTTTGCCTATAGTGCTTTAACCCTAACCCCCTAGGGTGTATGTAAAATCGTATTAAAATTGGAGGATTTGGGAGTGTTAGGGTTGGGCCCCTAAGGAAGATTCTCCTAAAATCTTTAAAACGCTAAAACTCAAGTTAGGGCCTACAGTGCAAGGAATATGTCGGCATCACGGATCTGTATGCATTAAGCAAGATGTTACTTTTTGGGCTTCTCAAGTTTTTTTACCCGTGTTTGTTATTTATGCGTACATCATTATGAAGTTGTTGATACGTGGCCAATAAGCCATTTGCGAGTTACATTTGAATAAAAACTGGGGCAAGCTTTTGCTTAGCGACCACCATCTCTGGAATGGACTGGTTCCTGTGTGCCCTTCTTTTCTATTGAGAACAGTGTATTGTTGCAAGACGTCTCCTGTGTAACTAAGGACAAGCTTGCTCCGAATCACGAGGTACAGCAACAGTGGCTTTAATATGGAGAATTCCAATTGTTATGTTCACGTGAATTTAAAGAACGCAGCGTACCAGATTTTATTCAAATTTAACTCGCAAAAGGCTTATTCCATAGATCTACTGCTTGATTATGTGGTGTGTCCGCGCGTCATGGGTTGGGACGGGTAACTCAGGTTGAGTGATTAACGACTAAAATCAATCTCGAAGACGCGGGTCATCGTATACTGTAGTGCTTTGGAACTAATAGCATGGGAACGAATGGCATGTCCAATACTCATAAACCCGTCTATTGCCAGCTTTATTTGCAGGTGTGCTAAGTCAACGAGTTCCTTCCCGCTACATCGTCACTATAAGCGGCACGTGTGTGGCAGCAGGACTGTGCCTGTCGTCCATCGCACAAACCGTCTTTCAGTTTGGTATCTTCCTGGGATTAGTTACAGGTATGACTTCCAACTTTGGTGCCATTTGCTCTTCACCTCTTAGTTTTGAGGACCAATTTCACGTATAAACTTAAATACATATACACGTAATCAGTACACAAAGGGTATTTACATATACCCTGATGTTAAACATTTTGTTCTAAATATATAGTACGCAAAACAAATACATTGGATTCACAATGAGTAAAGACCTGTCTCCAAGTTTGCTGGCTGAAATGAAACATATCAAATATGGACTTAAGCCACCGATCTCTGCGTACCTGACACCTGACTGGAAAATGCAGGCAGAGCGAGGGTTGAATGCCACTATAGGTACCATCTGTGGAGGCCCCAGTAATGCCCATGTACCCAGTGTGTCATCAGGGGCACTAGTTGTCCCAAGATCCCTATAATTCTCTTTAATCACCCAGACAGAGGGTGTGACCCCTAGAGATATTGCCCTTAGACAGGGCCCTAACTTGTATAACTGGATAAGGCTCTTTCACAGTTCTTGGAAGTATTCTTTGGCTTCTAAAAACAGGACTTGTGTGGGAACGCTGGCCTTTTATACAGTCATGTGGGTACCATCTGTTGCATTCGATAATAGTCAGAATCTGCTGGGAGAGGGCGCTTCTGAACATTCTAGGCCTTCCAAAGCCTGAAATGCAGGAAATCACCTCGATGTAAGGGGGCGTATGTAAACTTTTGGACCTACGTGTACTTTTCACATCGTTGGTGATATTGTAAACTAAAAGTCATTCAAAGTGAAATATTTGCTTAAAATAAAGAGAAAGAATGATGAGTGTTGTAAAAGAAAAACGTATAAATGGGTGTCATTTCTGGTAAAGTGTATAGAGGTTTAATTAAAGGAAAGCGGCTCGTATCATATTACACTGCACGATTGCATATTCAAAAGTGGCCTCATCGGGAAAAAACGTGTCTCAAAACTATACCAAAACAACACTCTATTATCAATCAATTATTCAATTATTTTGAAGTTTGAGATAGGACCTTGATTTGTTAAATTCGACATCTCGGCAAAAAGCAATGTGATCAATGGGATAATCTATACGCCGTGATGTCACAGCCCCCTCACGAGGCTGGAATTTTCTATTAGGCTTAAAAGCTGTCATAGACTTGAATTAACTTATTCAAATAATTCCGTTTGCTTACTATACTGTTTATTCAGGTGTTGGCTATGGTTTTACTGTAATTATCATGGAGATTGAACTCGCGCGTCACTTTCACAGGAAGTACGCTTGCGCAAACGGCATCGCGACTGCTGGGTCATCCGTCGGCCTGTTTATTATGGCACCGTTGATGCAGGTTTTGTTGGACACTTACGGGTGGAAGGGGGCGCTTCTTATCCTCGGTGGACTGTCCTTTAACCTGACTGCATGCGGCTGTTTGGTGCGTCCACAGGCTTCTTTGAGCAAAAAGGACAGTAACGATGATTGTCGAACAACTGACTCACAAGATGAACTCGAAACTTTGGATGCTGCTGACCAGGACTCCGCGCCGAGAAAGCCAAGCTGTTCTTGTTGCCTGACATGTCGCTCTGGCTTCAGCAGGCTTACCAAGGCTGCAGACCTTGCTATCTTCAAGGAGCTGCCATTTATCGTGGTTGTTATAGTTGTCTCCTGCATCAGGTTTGTGTTTTCAGCTTGGACCATCTACTTCGTGCCCCATGCGCAGGACATGGGATTCAGTAAGGTACAGGCAGCCATGTTTGTAACCATCACAGCTGTAGGTAACTTTATCGGAAAGGCAAGTCACGGATATATCGTGGACAGGAGATTGATAACAAGACGGGTCATGATCGGATTGTCCACATCTGTAACTGCCTTAATATTCTTTCTTGACCACTGGATGACCACGGAGGTAGTCATGATCATTGCCTGTCTAGTGAATGGCATAGCACTGGGAGTGGCCGGCAGCATGATACAAGTATTCCTGAAGAAGACAGTAGGAGTTGAGAGACTTGCTAACAGTCTTGGGTGGACCAACGTCATCTCCGGTTTTGTCCGCCTCGGTGCAGGCTTTTTCCCAGGTATGTATAGTCATGGTTTTAACACATATATATAGCTCTACGGGCACAATACATGATAGAACAATCCGTGGAGACGGCATAACTGCGGTTGCACCACACTTACGTGTGCCTTCTTTGGCTTTAGTGCCTGGGCAAGTCGCGACCTCTTTTGCAACGAGTGGCGACAATAGAGGGATTTCACATTAGCACCGTCTGCGCATATCTGCATCGAAACCGAGGCTCTCTGTGTTGAACTTCCTCGCGCGCGCCCGCAAAGTCCACACAGTACGTGGAGTATCCGGTTCGTAAGTGTGACGCCACTTCCGTTTAAACCACGCCCACTGCACAAGATACACGATCATTGCAGGTACGTTAGTTCGCGGTCAATTGTCGCTATTTTTTCTAAGACTCTTCCACAAAACTTTTCAGCCTGAAAAGTCTGAATTTAACATACCTTTATGTATTTTGTGTCTTGACTCCTTACTTTCAATCGTCTGATCGTATTAAGAATTGAAGCTGACACATACAGCCTCGTTTTCAAACGCGGAAGTGCGCAGATCGACGCTAAAAGCGTCGTATTGGGATCCCTCTATTTGAGTAATTTTTGTCCTTCCCTCTTTTACAGACGTACAAAGCAGGTTTTGTCACTTTTGTATTCTTTTTCCACTAATTACAGGTTGGATATATGACCAGACAATGAGCTATTATTTTTCCTTCGTCATGATTGGATGCGTGTCAGCAATATGTCCCACTGTTCTCATCTTGCATTACCTCATCTGCAGACGACCTCGTCAAGGCAGCTATGATTTAATCTTCACTTGATTTACCTTAAACTTCTACCTAGACTTGATGACAAGTCGTTAGATAGTTGTGTTTTGTCTGAGTGAACTTCAGTAGGACTCTATCGACATGGCTGTAGTGTAAGATAAGAACATAATTGGCTCAGTTTTGACTTATCTAACGACTTGGCAAATAGACCTACGTTCTGGCACCTTTATTCATGAACGTGGGAGCAGCATACGATATGTGCAAAGAATTTCTGCATTGAGATCCAATGATGCAGTGCTATGCAAGTACATGTACATATAAGAGGATTCATTCACTACAATTAATGACGTTTCCTCTCGGTTCGTTGGGGCATATTTTCGAATGTGGCCACATTTAACGATTAGTACACTCATGTCAATTGTGAATTGGAATAAAATGTATCGTGATTTTTTTTATTTATTTGAGCCATCACTGCCCTATAGTATTATGTCCTTTAAATATTTCCCGAATACGGAAGCGTATAAGGGCCACTTGCAAAAATGTGTTTCGAGTTATTATCTTGCCTCGGCGAGTTTTTTTGCAAGTGGCCCTTATACGCTTCCGTACCTGAGTATTACACAACACTAAAGTGACAATAGGGGGCTACGTTTTCCTCGTGTTCACTACACTCAGTGCAATGGCAATTGCGGCCTGGAATACATGCTGTTGAAGGTTGCTCGTTATACCATTCGGCTCGTAAAATGGGAAAGTCCGAAGTTTACGTGGCGATAATATTTTTCCATGTATTTCACAATTTCAAGCCAATATTTGTTTCATATAATTGACGTACAGATCCGAGTCCATTGTATCGACTAAGTACTTCAGATCAATGTCCAAAATACATGCGAAAGTTTGCATATCTGTTTACATGAACGCCATGATTGTGTGTGCTTGTCAAGCGGCACGAATCGGGTCACAACCCTTCTCCCTAGCTACCGGTCTGCGATGCTCTGCTGATCAAAATTAGTCAGGGTCGACAGTTCAAAAGCCGTGCAAACAAGGAAGATCCCGTTCTATGTAAATTCAATACCGTACTTTCTGAGCCCCAGTAGCATATTTTTCACTTTATATGAGTTCCACCAATGAAATGCAAGGATCTGTGAGTCAGGTATATTAAAATATATATATTTATCCACTTGAATGTCTCAACCAATCAGAATGCTCGCATAGAATCCACGGTTGGATATGTTATCTACGAAACACGTTTTTCTCAGTCAGTAATATATAGATAATAAATAGTAATATATAACGAAAAAAAATCAGAGAAATACATATCAAAACAATAAATAAACTCAAACTGGACAAAAACGCCAGAAAATGAGACCAAAAGGCAGAGAGAGGATGGGTAATACGAGAATAAATTATGATATGAGTATGTTGCCAGAAATCTTGCCATGGGAACTTCAAGGTGCCGTTACAATTGTTTACCTCCAAAGGTCGTAGTTTATAAAATCTTATTTAAACTTTAAAACAAATCTATAAAATTGAGAATTTTAGTCACTGTATATAGAAGACATGATGATATAGCAGTTTTTAAAGTCTCAGAATCGGCTTTTGTTTATCAGCATAATCTAGTCGTTGTAAATTCCTTGCGATGATGACGACTTTGTCATTGTTTTATATTTTAATTTCTATATTTCTAGTGTAAAGGCATTCATATTTAGGACCGAGGTATGAGGCAAATTTGAGTACGTCTATAATTGTCTCTGCATTGTTCCTTTCTTTAACTAAACACCCTTATGCAATAATCTTCATAGCTTCATAACAGTGCCATATGGATTGTACCCCAGGGCGTGTTAGGTTTCTTCATGTTCTTGTATTTCTATTTCTTGTGTTTTATTAAACATAGTATTTGTCAAATTTATGAACTGGATTGTTTGGCTATTCCCCCGTTTCGGTCATGCCCACTGGTCTCCACCTATACATGAAGACCATGTCTATGAGCAGATTAAGTTGAGCTCAACTCGAGTCATAACCTGTAGCGATTTTACCGGCTCTGTTATACGGGCACACCTATAGACCCTGGGGGCCTTTTCAGCATCGTATTGGGTTTTTATGGACCGCTCTCGTTATGCCTACAGTTTGTAGGCTTATGGGCGATCAAAATTTGCAGAAATATCCCCTTTTGGTTGGTTTTTCGATTTTACTTGAAATTCATTCCAAATGAAAATTTGTCCCATTAGGTTTAAATAGGATTGTATTTTCTTGTAGTATTGTTCTGATAGCTGCGTAGGACTGTAACCTTTTGTGGGTTCCTCTGGGTTGTACTGACAGCCAGCCATCGCTTTAGCAGGAACAAGTCGGAAGAATACGATTGTGGCGTGGACAGTGCAGACCTTTTATCCCGTTTAAGGTTATTTTGAGAGACGATGAAACGGGTAGTAAATGACAAGAGTCCGTATTCACAGAAACTCGTGTGAATTTGTTACATGTGCTCAGTAACGTATCTCGCCTGTGTAATGGTTCGTTTTTGTTCACAGTTGTGTTTAAACGATGCAAAATGTCAAAAGGAGGCCCTATGTACCCTACTAAAATAAACTTAACATAGGCTTAATTACCTTTGGATTCCGAGCGCTTCTGAAATGCACACCCAGTCTGTAAATAGGCAAGGTCTTATCGTTGGACGGCTCAGTGATCATTAAATGCAAATCCCACGTTGGCCAGTCAATATCATTGTACATGTAGTATGCTAAATTTTTGCACGTTATGCCTTAGAGGCGGAAATTGCCAGTAAATGTGATTAAGCAATCACTCATCACGGGATCGTCCATAAACTCCGTAAAACCACGACCCAGCTGTTGAATTTGATAATGTTTGTGTGAATCAGCGTTGATCATTTCCATTTGAACCTTGACACTCCATTCAGTTAGGTCTACGTGCAACTAATGAATGCATAAAGTGAGGGAACAGTCCACAGAGAGCCTACGAAACAAACGAATTATTTTTATATTTCACATGCCGGAGACACAATCGAAAAACTATTAGGCCTATATGGCACAGCCGTAATTACAATAGTCTTTCAAAGAGCAGTCTTCGTTCCTTCCCAAAATGAAATGATTGTTGGACAACACTGAGCAAGGTAACGAACCTATGTTGCGGCCGTCTGCCCTAACTGCTACATATGCTACATTTTAAAATACCGGTGTGACGTCATTCAGAGCCAGGCTCCATGTCAAAGCGTATAAACGGAGACAACGTCACAGGGGATCCCGACTTGAGTCAAGTCTTATAACTGAGTGTTACACCTGTTATTGAACTTAGCAATTTTGACAGGTGATGTGGTATTTTCTTCTGGCAAGCACGGTCAAAATTAATGTGCTTGCTGGTGTGAACTCTTCTTCCTAGTGGTTTGTGGTGGAAATGAGAGTGTATCCCAACTTGCCCCAGTCCTTACAAAGACCTTAAGACTCAGAGACATGTCTTAAAAGGGTCATTGCGATGCAGTTCTTTAAATACGAGACCCTTGAAAGAAAAAATTAATAATAGGTTTTCCCAGCCAATTTCAGCAAAACAACGTTCATTTTCGCGAACACAAATTCGAATTCGTGAAGATATTTCAAGTCTGTCCATAGTGTGGGTTCTTTTTCCCTATAATCGCATTCAATTTCGTTCTCGTGTACATAAGATTTAAAAGTCGCCATTCAGGTTCGTTTTAGTCATTCTATTTCTATTTCTCTTCATCAAAAGTATATTTTAAGTATTTTTAAGTTTAATCATTTTAAAAGTCATCAAAGCGTTGGGGATCTTTTAACTGCGCGTGCTTTTCTTTTTCTTTCACGATCAATTTGTCTTAGGCCTACACTCTAAATGTTCAATAGTAGCATCATTGGAGTAGTAACGGCTGTTCTTCACTGTAAGTTGTTCTGTTTTAATGTTGTTACTCGCTGATCATAGTCTTGATATGAATAATGGATTCCCTTGAATCCTTTATATTAAGTTTGTGTCCTCGCCTTGAGTCTTACGTCATATTAAAATCAAATCAGGATGTTCTTCGTGTTTGCTTTTGTCTGTATATACGGGCATTCCTTGACTTAGGCTATACATATCAATTATCCAGACCATTTGATATTAACAGTTACGAAAAGTTTGTAAATCAAATTTAAGATGCCTGTTATATTTTGTTATTGTTTCCCTGTGACTTTCTACAGGTCCTTTTCTGTCTTTTACTCCTCGACAGATTTTTTTTATTAACCCTCTATGTCCTGACGTGAAAGACATCCTTGCAATAGGTCTGACTATGGTTGAACCATCTCGTGCACTAAGAGTTATTTCTAGGCTACAACCGTCTCTTGAACAACTTGAGATGAGTATGAGTTGTTCCCTTCACTGTTGAACATTATTCCTGCATCTTGTGCTGCCTCGTGGTCTCCTAATCGACGCTGCCATTCTGGGAGGGCCAGATCTCTCTTTTAACGTCAGCGTTAAATGCCGAATTGGCCATTTCAGTCATGTACAAGAATGGTGAGTACGGTGGTACAAGCTTGAGCTGAATCTACTGGTTGATGTCTCGTGGAAAATAGAGGGATCCCAATACGATGTTTTTAGCGTCGATCTGCGCACTTCCGCGTTTGAAAACGAGGCTGTATGAGTCAGCTTCAATTCTTAATACGACCAGACGATTAAAAGTAAAGAGTTAAGACACAAAATACATACAGGTATGTTAAATTTTTCTTTTTTTTTCAGGCTGCAAATTTTTGTTGAAGAGCCTTTCGGAATGACTCAAAGGAAAAAACAATGGCAATTTACCGCGAACTAACGTCCCTGCGATGGCCATGTATCTTCTGCAGTGGGCGTGGTTTAAACTGAAGTGGTATCACACTTGCCAACCGGATACTGCATGTACTGTGTGGACTCCGCGGGCGCGCGCGATCAAGTTCAACACAGAGAGCCTCGGTTTCGATGCGGACATGCGCAGACGGGGCTAATGTGAAATCCATCATTGGGCGTGCGCCCGGGGCCTTGCATTGTGTTACACAAGAAAGATTAAGACTGGCTCACTTTAATGTAATGTACTTAATGTAATGTAAGGAAGCCTTCACGTGAACAGAGAGCTGTACCGAGATCCGAAATAATCTCCTTAAAGTCAGCATTTATGTAGGCAAATATACGAGTCAAATATATTCACATTTGTGAAAAATGTTTGCCTATTGACTAAATCGAATCCTTTGACGAATTTGATTAAACGAAACGACTCTACTTGCACATGAATCTGAATGAACTTATTTCTCGAAAGAATCTTCAATAACGAAATAGAATGGCTTCTTTTGATTTTAGAACGCTTGCTCGGAAAAGCAGTCATTTAAAAACGAATTGAAATTGAACTTGGGTTATTACTTTATCGTTACTTGAACGTTATTTTACTGAATTGGTCGGGAAAATGTTAAAGCCTGGAGGTGACCTTTCCATTAAAGAGAGAGAGCGCAGCTTTTTTGTTTTCGAGAGCATTTTTTTATATATACTTGTATTTCAAGCAGCTCTTTTTATTTTATAATCGCGACTTTTGAAAATAAATATTTATGAAACAGGACGGTGCATTTTGCTTCTTAGCTTTTCCTGTATCAGGCCTGTTAATTGTTGAACGTCAACTAAGGCAAGGCACATGACTAAATGTTTGGTAACGTTCCGGGAAGAAAATAGTAACCTCCGTGAAAACGATAGCTGCTATTGAAAATAAAAACTGCCCCTCGCCCCCGCCCCCCCCCCCAAAAAAGGGAAAAATGCTCTAAAAAATATGGCTGCTCTCAAAAAAATGCTGCTCTCTGGAAGAAAGCCTTACGGTTGATTTGTACACGTACAATCGTGCATCATTCATTATGGGCAAGTACATGTACACAGCAAGAAGCCAACCAGCAATACTTTCTTTCTCACAAGTGCTCTGAACGAGTAAAATTTGGGCTTATAATTTGAATGAGAAAAACCTTTCAAATGAAGAGTAGGGCTGCATCCAATTCACTCAGCTACGGCCTGGTATTGCGCATGAGTATATAGCAGTGGCTGCGGCCAGTTCCTATGGATTCGTGCGTAATTTCAAGCCGCAGCGAAGTGATTCAGACTCGGCTTGTCGTCCGTAATAATACATCAACAGCGCCCTCTTTTGCCAAGAAAAGCAAAGCCAATTCGAAACGTCTACAATATTTCCCCATTCCCGTCCTTACAAGGGCGTGAATAGTCTTCGTGCATAGAAGAGGCAAATACAATTGAACAAAAGTGTTCTCAAAACTTTTCACTTTGGTGCTTGACATGCTGTGGCGTAATTGTAAGGAGGGAAGCACATTCCCTCAGTGGAAGTCCATCCCCCCCTCCACTCAACTGACATTTAAAGCTGCAATTTGCCCTAAAAACATATATGTATGCAAGGACGCCATGCCTTGCTTACATGAACGCTCTCCTTTGAAGGCTTTATGGATCGTGTCCACATCGCCATAGGAAAGCACACATGTAAACAAGGCATCACGTCACTGTGCTTGTAGTGTCTCCTCAAAAATGTAAACCCCCCCTCAGAAATTCCACCCAATATGCTTCAGCTTTTTTAAGGTAACAAATAATTAGCACTGTGCTTCAACTGAGCAGTCAACTCCGACTTTATTTACAACCTCAGGAGGTTCCTGCTGATCACAAATGTGACCTCTGCAAAATAGGCCCTTAAGTCATGCTACGCCTCTTTATGTAACAGAACATTCCATACATCTGCCAGGGATCAATTCTAAATTTTAATGTATCTCGAGAAAGAATGTACAATAGAGGTCAAAAATACACAAATGTAATTCTTCTTAAAATGCCTTTCTCTATCCATGGGCATCACTGAAAACCAGTTTGTCACACATAAACCCAAGGGCCTTTTCTGCAGAGCCAATCACAAATTATTACTGAAAGGTTAAAAAAATCAGCTTTAATCAAAGTGTCAGGGTATCAATATCATAGGTGATGATGTGTGAAATGACACTGATTTTGAAGACAGGTTTAATTCCAGTTTGTGCCTAGGTACACTTTGGTCGTAAAAAAAAAAAATCTGTATGAATATCTTCCAGTGTAAAGGGATAGGAAACAAAGACTACTCCTTCCGAAAGGATGTATTACTTTTCAATTTATGGTCACAAGCTCAGGTAGATTTTACGTGTGATGTACATTTCGAATCTTTCACAAACAGGGTGTTACCCACACCTCAAGCTGTAGAGAATTTTTGACATGGACATGAGTGTAATATTACCAAATTAATGCTGTCTTCTGGAATAAGTCTAAAGGTCAGAGTGGGAGGAAATGTTCACTGTGAATGTGAATGCACCGTCACTCTGATCATCATTAATACCACTAAAATTAAAATGACCATTTGTGATTTGGAGAATTCAGCACTGGATCACAACTTCAGTGACATCTGTCTTTTTCTACGTTTCCGAGCTTTCCACAGCAGAATGGTTCTTAAAGTCTCTGAAATAAACGTATATAAATATAATAAACACCTGAAACTTACTGTTTAACACACAGTGAGTAATCCACTTATTATGTAACATTCATGCAATTTTTTCTTCCCTATGTTTTAAAGAAGGTTAAAAACTAAGACCAAAAGCTTTGGATTTGAAGGAGCCAGTCAGGTGAACCTTCTACAACACACAAAATTAAAGATGTTGGTTTCATGTTCTCCAGATCACATCTACGCTAAGTCAACTCAACTAGCTGGTCTTACAGCAACAATTTCCACATCTGTCAATACCTTTTGAAAGCAGCACTGATTTCTATGACAAGGTTCTGTGACAACATTCGACACAATTCAAACAGATCTTCAAGTGATTTTACTTGGATTGTAAATGAGACAGAGAGTGGATGAGGATAGGATGGGTCAATGCTGACCACGTTTCTTTCATTTTCAAATAAAAATCTATTATTCACAGCTTGCCAGCAAGAGTGTGTCCACTAGATGACATAGTGCTTCTTTGGCTCAGCAGCATCTTCAGGTTGGTTTCCCTTCTCTATCCACAGGTCATTGTATGGGTACTGCTTAGGGCCCTGAAGTAACGATAAGCCCAATAGACTATTCACTTAAAGGTCAAACAAATAAATGCTGTGTTTTCTGTATTACAATGCCACCGAAAGATGGATCGGTAGGCAGGCACAGGCTGGTCGTTGCATTCTTTATTTTATCCTATCCAAATTTGATATTCACCACAACAGAAAGATCAGTCTATTCAAAGAAATACTTCATATCAAAGAGAGAAAAAAAGGATTAAATGTTTACTTTGCACAACTGTAACAAAAAAAACACTCTTGAACTTCCAAGGATTTCTTCACAAAAATTTTTCAAATCCTTCACAATGCAGGAAAGCAACAGCGCATACAGGTAAATATTACTTTGTAACTTGAGTATCAAAGGCAATCATGCCCCATGCAATTTCTAGTGATTTCAAAAGAGTTAGAAGGGAAATGTGAATAACTTCAACAGGGAATTTACATGTATTACAAGTAATCTATTTGCTTTGCTTTGAACTCACCACTGGTTGGAAGATTTTGTATTTTCCACCAAACCAGAACAACACAGCAAGGGTTGCCAACACTGCACCTAGCATCTTAACTTGCTGGTTACTGCCAAAATCAATTTCAAAATCATTTATTAAATAAAGAATCTTTTTTGCAACAGTAAACCTAGCTGACCTGCCGTGCACAAGAAATCAAAACTCTATACAATGAATTTCATTCTCTTGTTTAAATCTACAGGGATCTGTAACAGAAGAGTATGTCCACTCAAGATACAAATGCCAAGTTTGACAGCTTTTGAGACAGACGTCCCACAAAAATTAGAAATTTATAAATTTTCAGTGCCCTAATTTTCCTGTATTTTTCCACCACATTTCTGACCAAAAACTTTGTATTGAAAAATTGGGTCACTGAGAAAAAGTTTCAAGGAAAATTTAAAGATAAACTCGACTTTTACACTTGTATTAGTTGCTAGTTAAAATAATGAAATGAACCTTAATTTAAACACTGAGATCTAACAAATTTAAATGGATAATTTGAGGGTGTTATGTGAAGGGTTTTCACTTTTCGGTAAAGAATTGTAGAGGTAAACATGTGGGTTCATCGCTGAGGTAAATGAAAATATTTACTGTGTGCCAAGGATATTACATATATATTTATTCAGGTTGGTGGGTCGTTTCAAAGAAATGGTGCATCTTCTGTTTTACAATCTAAAGCAGTTTCCTTTTTTGTGTGAAATGACTCAACTACTGACAAGCAATACTTACAATGGTATTCTGGATTTTGCATATATGTTGGGCCTTGCACGGGACAGCAAATCTTGTTCTATATGTACCTGAAGGAAATTAAGCAAATGCAGAAGTTTTTATTATGAACAGAAAGTGAAGCACTGAGGAATCTGGCTTTTTATTCAAATCTCTCCTAAAAAAGTACTACACTTGTAACTGTAATAAGTAAATACAAAAACGTCTCACAAATAACACAGCAAGTTTAAACAAAACCTATATGAAAAGATAAATATTGGGAAACAAATGATGTGTGACAAATAAGGGTTGCAATGTTGACATATGCAGCAGACTGTGGCAATATAAGAATTTGTTATATCTCTGTCTTGGATACTGTCTGTTTATTGGCCCAGAATGATCATATGACAGGGCAATATATCCGCATATCACACTCACGATGAGATATTTCATTCTGCCGATAAAGCATGCATGCGCATAAACAGAAGAGCTTGAGAAATCTCAAAGTGAACATTTCCGCTTCTTTAGTCAGTTTTGCACGGTACCCAGGAAACGTTTTGTGCATAGTCTACCAGTGAACTCGATCAATGATCGCGTTCGTATACAGACTTGTTCCCGCCCCCTCAGCGTATAAGGTAGTGCAGGTGCTGCTAACCAGACTACATGTACTCACTGGTACACACACTGGTTTCACATTAAAGTTTACGCAATTAAAGAAAGTGAGAGAAGAGTGCATTTGCAGATATCATTCATGTCTGTTAGGCTAACTATACAATTTCACAGTACGTCTATTGTCTTCTGAAATTCAGAGCTTGTTTCTTTGACCAATTTCCTTAAGACAGAGGTAAGACAAAACAATTGTTGACTGCTTTGGTGTGATCTGATGTTCTGAACACCCTCGGGCATGCCTCAGGCACACAGCAGGGTGCTACGTGTCCCTTGGGTGTTCAAAACGCCACCCCATAGTGGTCAACAATTGTCAAATACAGTAAACTACGGCTAAGTTGGCACTCTTGGGACTCAAGAAATTATGACGACGTACGAGAATGCCAGCTTGTTTTGTAAGTCGTCATTTTGCCGACTTAAACGTACACATGTATTGCCTATGTACATTATGATTCCATGCACTAATTCAATGGCTTTGATTTACCCTGGTTTATTTCTACCTCCATGGTTGATCCCAGCAAATTCGTTCTCGATTA